CCGTTTTCCTCCATTTCTTTCTCTGTTGTTTCTCCTCCTCCTTTCTGCTTCTCCTCATGTGGGTCTTCCAGTCAACACAGTTTCCACTTTTTGAATTCCCCTTCCTTCTGCTTCTCTTCAAGTCTTTTTCTCTGACTTTCTTGCTTTTCTTTAATTCTCATCTTTCCTTCTCTCCCCCATGTGCTCTCTTTTCTCCACTCGCACAGTAACTTGTCTCATTTGCCACAGCAGTACTTACCTTATCTTTAAAAGAACTTGAAAGTGTTATTTGTCTATCTTGTTTATTATCTCGTTAATTTTTGCCTTTGTAAAACAAATGATGTGGGCCAGCCGCAGTGGCTCACGCCTGTAATCCCAGCACGTTGGGAGGCCGAGGCGGGTGGATCACGAGGTCAGGAGTTTGAGACCAGCCTGGGCAATATGGTGAAACCCCATCTCTATTAAAAATACAAAAATTAGTTGGGCATAGTGGCGCATGCCTGTAGTCCCAGCTCCTTGGGAGGCTGAGGCGCAAGAATTGCTTGAACCCGGGAGGCAGAGGTTACAGTGAGCCAAGATTGCACCACTGCACTCCAGCCTGGGCGAAGGAGCGAGACTCCACCTCAGACAAACAAACAAACAAAAGAACAGATGATGTTTTTCCTTGCCTGGTGATAAGAAAAATCAGAAAAATCAATATAGATATTGTAAGTGTGCAGTCTAATGATTTTACAGAGCTAATCATTTAAGGATACTTTTCTTCTGAGCCTAGTCAACAGCCTCACAGGACATTGATCACTTACATCAGTGTCTGGGATCACCATTACCTACTTACCAAGAAAAAATTGGCTCCATCAAACCATAGTTTCTGCTTTTTCACAGAATGACTTTCCTGTTTATCTACATAATGAGAAGATTGAGGCTACAAACCTTAAACTACACCTCATTTAGTTCTGTTTATTTCTACTTTCATATCTTTCTTCCATTAGCTTTTTCTTTCCTTTCATTTTAGAGAAAGTTTTCTTCACCCTTATTTCCAAGCTTTGTCTTGCCATATTTTTATATTCATCTCATCCATTTCTTTCTTGTCAGTCTTTCCTTTTCTTTTCATTATCCTCAAAAATCTCCCCTCTAGGATTCTTCCTTCAATTTTGAAATATACCATCCTCTTAAAAGGTAAATTGGTTTTATCGTCTTTATCAATCATCAGGTTATCCTTTCATGAATAGTTATTTGTACATGAATGACTTCTACATGCTGCTTCCACCTCCTCTCAGCATATTCTAACACTACAATCATATCTCTTCCATTCCATTGAATCACCAAGTCCAGTGATGTTTTCTTAGGCCAGATCCTCCTGGACTTTATATTTTTCTAGATTTCAGTTCTTAAAAGAATATTTTATATTCAAGAAGTAAAAGGCACACAAAATGGAAGCTAAAATTGTTCTGCATTATGTCACTGTTTTTAGTTTGTAATATGGAAATAGGTAAAAGTCCTCTTCCCTTCATCTTTCAAACTAACCTCCCAGAAATAATCTTCTAACATTTTCATGTTAATTCCAGTAACTGTAGTAATTTAGTTTCTTTAGTTTCTAGTAATTCAGTTTTTTTAAAAAGCTGGAATAAACATCTTTTAAAATATTTATTTGAGTCTTTATATTTATCATGTGTACAAATATATATGCTATTTTAACTGTAACATATAATTTATAATATATACATATTGTATTACATGTATACTTAATTAACTCTCCCCTTTTGCTGATTATATTTTCAAGCTTTTATTTCTTCAGACATATAAACCATACCTATAAGTCTAACAATATGTCTAAATGATGAGAGTCTGTGTCATTGGCTTTTTGTTTTAGTTGTTTTTTTCTTATGGTGCTTAGTTTCCTGTTGTGTTTGTAAATTTTCAAAACTCTGAGTTCTCATTTTCCTTGAAAATTTGTGTGTAAAGATACTTTAAGACTTTATTTACAGATAGTTTCTCCAGAAAAGAAATTGTGTCAGAGACTGGGGAAAACTATCAAATAAAGGCCACTTTATTTCAATATTTTTGACATTTAAAAATGTTAATGGAAATATAAGTTACTTGTTGAAAAGTGTGTTAAGTCAAAAATTGACCTTATGAATTATTACAAGCTAAAGACACTAATCATTCAAGTAAAATAATGGGACTTTGTCAGGAACCTCCCAGTGCCCATTTCTTCACTTCTTCCCAAATGTAACCATCATCTTAATATCCAGTCTGCCTGTGTGTGAACTTTTCTCTACAACTTTTTGTTTTTTTTAATGGTTCAACCTAGAGAAAAGTTGAAACAATAGTAACTTGAATACCCAATGTTTGTTTCTTAGATCACTGACATGTCAACATTTTGCAGGTCCAGGGCTTTATCTTCTGTAAGTTATCAAATCCACTCCACAGGGTCTAGCAGAAACTTTAAGGGTGAAAAAGTATTTGATGCTAGATTACATCTCAGCGTTCTGGGTTTACTTCATTGTGAAGCTCTATGTTTTTCATACTTTAGTGTCAGTTCAGAATTGCATTTAAAATGACTTTTTAAATATATATTTTATACTGCATTATTGTTTCATTGGAGGGTTGTGCAGGATATCTAATCTACTATATTGTTGAAGCAGAAGTTTGCTAGATTTTAGATGTAATTGTATAGGCGTTGGTTTAGAGAATTAGGAGAAAATCACATGAATGGAAATCATAATGGATGTCAATACTTCTGAAATTAAAAAAGGATAAACCACTTTGAGTTCTTATTTATTATAAAGAGTGCTGGCCGGGCGCGGTGGCTCAAGCCTGTAATCCCAGCACTTTGGGAGGCCGAGGCGGGCGGATCAGGAGGTCAGGAGATCGAGACCATCCTGGCTAACACGGTGAAACCCCGTCTCTCCTAAAAAATACAAAAAACTAGCCGGGCGAGGTGGCGGGCGCCTGTAGTCCCAGCTACTCGGGAGGCTGAGGCAGGAGAATGGCGTAAACCCGGCAGGCGGAGCTTGCAGTGAGCTGAGATCCGGCCACTGCACTCCAGCCTGGGCGACAGAGCGAGACTGCGTCTCAAAAAAAAAAAAAAAAAAAAAAAGAGTGCTCATAGATCAGGCTGTGGAGAATAAATAACCCTTATTGGTATGGTGAGCCTATCTAATGTGTTGTCTAAATGAGACCATTTTGAAAGTGAAGTGAAACTGGTGATAATTACTCTGGTGGGAAAAAAAAGAAAGACATAACTTGTTCTTGTCTGGGGCAAATTGAGATGCAGTTGCCCTAAGTATAGGTTACTATACTTTTTAAGAAATGACTTTGAAAGTAAAAATAAAACCAGATATGTGCGTGAGCCTCTTCTTAATGTCAAAAGTCTTTATTGAAGGCATATGCTAAGTGTGTCAATGCCAGCATTCACAGAGTTTCATAACACTAGTGTAAGTATAGTGGGATTAAAAGTCTTGTTTTCATCTGAACATAATTTAGAAAAAAAATCCGCATGTCTTACAAAAGAAGATTAAAAGATAGAAGTAGTTTCTCTATTAAAGGCATTCAAATATAGACTTGAACGACTACTTTAAGTGTTGTTTTGGTGGAAATTGAAATATTAGTCACGTTCTTGAATTACCTGAAAGGTCACTTTCAACTTGGAGGTTTTGTAATTCTATTTACTCTCTATGCATTCTTATGTTTAGGCAAAAGAGCCTCTCCATTTTCAGAAATGTGGAAGATTATGAAAGAGAAAGATATGGAAAATTACCAAGAAACACTTATTAACGATGTAAAAGCTTGTCATTCTTTCATTGTTTCAGAATGTCAGAAAATCATATTTATTTTGGCTTATACTGTTAATTGATTTGAAAAGTAGTTAATTTCTCTGTGGTTTACATAGAGTAACAGGAAAAATATCAAATATTGGTCTTTGCCACCTTCCCTATGTGTCCTTTTACTTGGTATGGAATCCTTTAATTATTTAGTAGAGAGATTGTCACAATTATAAGCACAGAGGTTATCTTTGATTTTACATTGCAGTTGTCTCAACTACGTTATGAGGGGCTCAGCTCAAGGGGCTCCAGGTCCCATTATCTGGGCAATGGAAAAGTCCGTTCTCATTTAGCCATGGTGCACTTAGGATCCTTAAGAGAAACTGTGATGTGTTTAAGGTCAAAAAGCCTTTTTTCCTCATCCTAATCAGCAGTTTTATCATAATACAACCTTGAGCGACTTATTTTGAAGGTCTTTCAGCACTTTATGAAAACCTCTTACAAAAATCTCTTTGTTATATTTTAAGTGTTACTCTCTTTTTATTTTTTGGCCACTCATGTTACCAAAGTTTAGAATGTAACTTTTTAAAGCTCCATTACTTTGGCTAAAAGAAGAGATAAGTTTAATTTAGAAACTTGCTCATCTTCAGTTATGGCATAATATATAATTTCTTGATTTATTTTTAAAAGAAATGGCAATTTTTTTTCTTTCTTCCTGTAGAGCATATCCTTAAAGAAAAAAATCTGTTGGCAAAATTGCCAATGTTTTGGAAAAATAAAATAAGGAAGGATGAAGTGCCTGACTGCGTATCGTTTTTGTAAAGTTTTGGATTATGGAATTTTCCTGGTAAAAATCTCTTCTCCCTGATGCCTGCCCACACAGGTAATTGGATGACACTTAAACGTATCAGCTTCTAAAGGTTGGTAAGCAAAAAATTAAAGCTATCCCGGTCCCTTCCTGCTTACGAAGAAACAACCACTCTGTCTTCTACTTTCAATACTTTATTATTTCCTATTATAAAATGAATAAGCGCAGTGCAAATAAATCAATGAATAAATATAGTCATTGACTCAAAAAACGTCGAATAGTTTTTTGTTTTCTAAATTACTTCTTGAATCTACCAATTTTATGAATGCTCTGTCAGTGGTTTTTATTTAACCTTTTTATTCCAAGCATCTAATAAACCATTCTTTGTATGTTGTGCCTTGTATTAGAATCTGTTGCTTATATAGAACAGAAACACTCTCAGAAATCTCCAGAGTTAATGATTTATTATAAGGATGCAAATGCGAAAGTAGTAATAAAGATAAGTCAGGCCTTGAGATCCAAAGAATAAAGCATTGTGAGAGAGCAGGAACCAAAGTATCAAAATGGGAAATAGAAGTTAGGTAGAGATGTGGGCATCAAGAGGTTGTAAATCTTTACTCTAACACTCTGTTGTTAATGAGCTCCAGCTACTCTTCTCATCTCTGTTGCCCCAGACACCGTAGAGCACGTAACTTATTTTTCCCTAGAAGTGGATGCCTTATCTTCTGTCCCAAATAGCTTGCCTTGTAAGTTATAGCTTGGGCATATTCATGACTTCAGTTGCTTCAGGACTCATCAAAGCTCTTGTCCCAAGGCCTTGCTCTGTGTATCTGAATAACTTCAGCTCCCACTGCTTATATCCTTCCATTTCAAAGTCAGACCTGAAAGAGAGAATGCAATTGATCTGGCCTCTTATCACTGCACTTTACTATAAGGTGGGCTAAACCACCTCAGAGGCTTCATACAGTCAGCACTCATTGTGGAGGATAGGAACACAATTGTAAATTACACAATATAGTTACTTTAAACTTCTTTACAAAGTTCTGATGTGCAGCCATTTCCCTTGGAAAGAGCTTGTTTCTGCAGTAACGTGATGATGATTCCAGCCTCTTCTCAACTTAGTTCATTTGGGTGTCCCCTCCACCACCCCTGTACACTTTGTTGAAACTACTCTTGCCAAGGTTATCAATGATCTCCATTTTGCTAGATAAAATTGTCATGTTTTGGCTGGGCACAGTCGCTCACACCTGTAATCCCAGCACTTTGGGAGGCCGAGGCAGGCAGATCACGAGGTCAGGAGTTCGAGACCATCCTGGCCAACATGACGAAACCCCATCTCTACTAAAGATACAAAAAATTAGCTGGGTGTGGTGGCAGCACCCGTAATCCTAGCTACTCAGGAGGCTGAGGCAGGAGAATCTCTTGAACCCGGGAGGCAGAAGTTGCAGCGAGCTGAGATTGCTCCATTGCGCTCCAGCCTGGGCGACAGGGTGAGACTCCATCTCAAAGGAGAAAAAAAAAAAAACCCAAAATTGTCATGTTTCATCATTCTTCATCTTATTTGTTCTTTCTGTAAAAGATTAGCTGACCATTTTATTCTGATTGAATTTTTTTCTCCTTTTCAGAACTCTGAACTACCTTGGTTTTCTCCTATCTACTAAGTAGTTTAGCTCAGTCTCCCCTGCTAGATTCTCCTCCTCTGCTGACCCTTGAATTCTAGGACCCTAGGCTTAGTCTTAAGTCTTCTACTCTTCTCGACCTATATTCTCTCTTGAAAAAAGTCTTTTCTAATTCTCTAAACATCACCTATATTTAAAGACTCACAGATGTATATCTCTAGTTCTAAGTCTTTCCTCAGTGACAAACTCCTACTTGACATAATCATTTGAATTCCAATAGGCCGGCTCACATTAAATATGATCAAAACTGTATTCTTGATATTGCGACCAAACCTGTTCCTACTTGATTCTCTGTTCCACCCAGATGCTTAAGCTCAAAAGAAGCAAAGGAAAAAAAATAATAATAAAACACACTTAAAAAGGCAAAAAAAAAAAAAAAAAAATTCTCATCTCCCATATGAAATCAATCAACAAGTACTGTCAGCTGTGCCTCCAAAATAATTATTTTTCTTTCAACCTCCAGTGTTGCCCCTTAGCCCAAACAACTATCATTATCCACCTTACTTTCTTCAGTGGATTTTTAAACTAATCACTCCTTTTTCCCCCCCATAATCTATGCTCTGCAGCCAGAGTAATAAATTTAAAATGTGATTAAAACCATGTCACTTGCTGAATAAAAATCCTCCAATGGCTTTCACCTGTACTTAGTGAGAAAAGGAAAGCACACAAACTCCAGCATATTCTAAAAGACCCTACATTGTCTTCTGCCTCTATCTCCTGCACCTCATATCTATCCTACCATGCTTTTCCTTCCTTCACCTTCCTTTTCTGCTTTTCAGTTGTAGCAAGCTTATTCTTCCTCCAAAGATCTTTTAACTTTCAAATCTATTAAGCCACCCATCATGTCTTCAAATGCTTGGCTCCTTTTTCCAACCAGGTTCAGCTCAGGTGTTACCTTCCTGTGAGAATTTCTCAGCACATCCAAATAAAATTACTTACCCTAGAACTATTACTTATTTTCGGTTTTATTGACTTCATATTATTTAATGTGTTCTTGTTAATTTATTGGTTTACTTATTTATTGTCTGTCTCTCCTACTGGAACGTAGGCTTCACAATAGAAAAAGCCTAATCCTTCATTATCATTTTATTCTTCATTTTCATTGTCTAGAGCAATGCTTAGTATATGATAACAATTTAATGAATATTAGTTGAGTGAATAATGAATCATTTGCTACATATCGAAAATACAATGAGCATTTGAGTATCAACTTAATAGTTTATACACAACTATAGTTGATTATCAACTATTTGAGTATAAACTGTGCTTTAGGTGCTAAACATATGTTATCTCATTCATTAATTATTATTCATCTATTCAATACATATTTATTAATTACCTAAATAAAGGTCTACCAAGAGGAAAAACTATCATCTCTACTCATAGGTGACTTGTTCTCTAATGAAGACACAAGTAGGCCAACAATCAAGCATAATGATGCAATTTCCATGATGGAACAAGTTAAAAACTGGCATAAACATAAATACATGATGGCATAGACTCCTACATTTGTCTGCCTGTGGTCGGTAGCAAAGATACCAAATAGACATTTTTACTTCACATTGACAGCCATAGAAATTAGTAGGCAACCCATCTTGGAAAGGACGTTCCTTTTAGGTAGACAAGGTGACTGAAGGGGCTTTGGATGTATGACTGTAAAGTGCAGTTAGTGAACTATAAATAGTTCAGTACATTTTGGAATATTAAAAGAGGAAACAGTGTAAGTAGATAATTCTGAAAGAGTAGGCAGAAACCAGCTTCTAAAATGTTTGAGAATCTAACCTAAGGAGTTAAAATATTCCCAGACAGGCATTTCTATAATTCAGTATTTGCCAAGCCTTTTTAAAAAACAATCCTGTCCGGGCGCGGTGGCTCACACCTGTAATCCCAGCACTTTGGGAGGCCGAGGCTGGTGGATCACGAGGTCAGGAGATCGAGACCATCCTGGCTAACACAGTGAAACCCCATCTCTACTAAAAATACAAACAAAAAATTAGCCGGATGTGATCCCAACTACTCAGGAGACCAAGGCAGGAGAATGGTGTGAACTCGGGAGGCAGAGCTTGCAGTGAGCTGAGATCGCACCACTGCACTCTTGCCTGGGCAACAGAGCCAAGACTCTGTCTCAGGAAAAAAAAAAAAAAAAAAAAAAAAAATTCCTAACCATTGTTTTTTTGAATCTGGAAAATTATCCTGAAATTATTTGTCATATAGCTTAAGAAAAAAAAAAAGTCAGCAACAATTAGTTTATTTTGAAAAATTCCATTAAAGCTTTTGATATTTTGATGACAATATTGGTGAAATTAGCTCTTTAAATTTGTAAGAAACAGCTTTGAACCAAAAACTATACAAGTTTCTACATGATTAACATTCCAATTCTTTAATGTTTAGTAATATCTGTGCTGAGGAAATGCTGAGGCAGTGCTGGGGATTCCTTAAACACTATAGAGTATGATTAGTAATCTGTTTTTTTGGGATAGCCAATTAATGCATTTTGGAATAATAAGTATCATTGTTCTGTTTATATTATTAAAACAATCAGATATTCACTGAGTTTATGTTATTTCTATAAACAGATGTTTCAGTAAATAATATATTTCTCAGGAATAAATGAGGCACTGGCAGATGTCAACATTTATGTTTAGTAACTTTATTAAAACTAGAAAACCATAGAATGTGAAGAGAAAATGAAATATATTATGTATTAGAGCAGTGAAGGTTTTTTCCCGTTTCCCATTTTTAAGGGAGCATCCCCTTTTGGGAAATTAAAGCAAAAGTGAAATTTTGTAAAAAGCAATTTTTTTTTACACTTTTAGCAACATTTTAGAAAATACTACAATAAATACATAATAAATATCTATGTAATAAATATACCATATATATCAAGTAGAATTCAAGATTAGGAATACCTACATTCATTGTCGCTTATGGTTATCAGTGGCTCACATGTTTCAGCTGTTATGATCATGGCAGGAATTTCCTATTGAGGAAAATAATTTTTTAAAAATTGTGAAGGAAAAGGAAAAAAATATAATAGAGGATCAAGAGACAAATTTTAAAATTTGACTTAGGAATAGTTCTTGTTCTTGTTTGATCATCCTGAGAGGGCTTACACTTATCAGTCTCCACAGGGCCACAAAAGTAAATGTTTCCTGTGCATTAAAAAACAAACTACCAAACTTGTTTATGCTTTTCTGAGCTCCAAAGTGACTGAGATAGGAGATGACACTGAGCTGGCCTGTAAAGCTCGAGAGGGCAGCACTGTGAGTGGCTGAGCAGGCAGGAGACAACAGATGCCTGAAGCAGTGGTGCGCTCGATGAAGCCACAGAACTGCAGTGACTGCAAAGACAGTGCCGCATTTTCTGCCATTTCTTAATGGAGAAAAGGGGGCAGATCACTTTATTTTATACAAAAGCTCCTAGCACTTTGGGAAGCCAAAGCAGGCAGATCACCTGAGGTCAGGGGTTTGAGACCAGCCTGGCCAACATGGTGAAACCTCGTCTCTATTAAAAATACAAAAATTAGCCGGGTGTGGTGGCAGGCACCTGTAAGCCCAGCTACCCGGGAGGCTGAGGCAGAGAGAATTGCTTGAACCCAGGAGGCAGAGGTTGCAATGAGCTGAAATCGCACCATTACACTCCAGCCTGGGCAACAGAGCAAGATTCCATCTCAAAAAACAAAACAAAACAAAACAAAAGCTGCCCTCCTCATCTATAAACCCAGAAATGGGAAAGACCTTTTTCCCCACAGTATCTTACTATTGAAACCAAGTTAAAAAACAAAACATAAATGTAACAAACTCTCATCCTCATAGTCCTGAACTTATCTGCAGCTGAGTTTTTACTCTATCATGCTGGGAGCAAAGATATTGGGTGGTAACATAGGCTGCAGAGAAGCTACATTTCGGAGGTCAGTGGACACTAAAGATTGCATACCATCTGTCTATGTATTTAGTGTATAAAAGCTGCTTAAAATTTCAGAGATTTAGTTTCTTCATATGAAAAATCTATATTTTGACGTATATTTGGGGTTTTGAAATAGTGAATTTAACTGTCTAGGAGAGTACAGAGCATATAAAAACTCTCAGTAAGCAATAGCTGCCTTTATTTCAGAGTCTATAAACCAAACATTTCAGCTCATAGCCCAAATTACTCCAGCTCTATTTCTAAAAGCCAGGAAAATCTCTTCTGAAGACTTCTATTTCAATGTGTCACGAATTTTTAAGGCTCAACTGTGATATTAAATGTGAACATGTTTAATAAATGGTAGAATGTTGTATCAGCGAATCTCAGAATGATTTTCATGCCATTCTGATGAGAGATGTTAATAGATGTTTCTCAAAGAAGGTGTTGTGATTAGATAAACCAGGACGGATGTTTTAGACATTTTCATATACCACGGTAATTTCTAAATTTCCTGGTATAGGGTGGGTAGAACACATAGCATTTCCCAAATTTTTTTGGTTGTGAAACTTTTGTTTTCATGAGACTTCTCCGTGATTACTCTCCACAGGAAAAGATTTTGAAGTGAAATATATTTACAATTATTTTGTAAGTAAACTAAAAAACACAGTTCTTTCCAAGTGAGTTTCAATCACGTTTCTCCTGCTGGAAGCACTTTAATCCATTAGATAGTGGAGATCAGACTTTAACATATTATTGGAAATACGTTAAGCAACATAATGTTGCAAATAGAGATTCTATTATTATTTAAACATTAGTTTAAAAGCAATATGGAAATGCTATATATAATTATTAAGGCAGAGTAAAATGAATGGTTTTAAATAGGCTTGCAAAGTTCTGATGGAATTAGATTGCATTGCATTGTGTCCTAGGTAAGAATGTGCTGTGCTGCAAACCACCATGGCACACATTTACCTACGTAACAAACCTGCACATCCTGCACATGTACTCCGGAACTTAAAATAAAGGTTGGGGAAAAAAGAATGTGCCTACTGATTACAGGGAAAAACAAAAAACAAAAGATGATTGAAACATAGTCCTAAATAACAAGAAGGGAAATTTTCTTAAACTGATCATCTTTCTCATCGTCATGACAAAGGGTAACATTTTATTTTCAGTCCTTCAGTGCTTTTTTAATAATTCACCATACATATTTTACTTATGTCACATTGACTGTGGGACTTAGCAGTTTACATTTGCAGTCATGTGAATATAATTATCTGTATTCCCTATTGGAGTGATGGGGGAAATTGGATCATTATATAATTTAAAAGAACCTCCCCAGGCACCCATTGTGTTCTTAGGAAGTCAGGAACCGAATTTAAGATTATTAATTTCACACACCATGTTTTATACATTAAATTAGTATATTGGATTTGACACTTTATAGATTGTATAGACACTTACGTGTGACTCCAGAGAGCAACAGAAATATTATTAAGAGTTCTTCAAATAATTTTGATAATCAAAATCATGTATAATGGTAGTGCCAGGCCTCTAGGGGTCATTCTGATATGTTAGGCATGATAATCAGTGAAGGAAAACAGCGTCAAGACATAAAGAAATAGGGACATTGGTCATTGCAGGATTAGAGCCTACTGAATTTATACCAGTCAGCAGAATAGCCCAGACAGATCTATTTTTTCACACAGTCTCTCTCAATAAGTAGCCTTTCCTATCCTGAAATTGATATTTTATTTTAATAATAATCCCTTCTATCAGAATTGTTATGTTACTCTTTACAATAATCACTGTATTGGCATGAAACAATAGCCTGGCAAAAGAGAAATTATGAAAACTGTAGGTGAGGGTATACATACTTGCATTAAATCCTAATTTTGTCAACATCACATACAGCCCTGAATCAAAACCAAGCCTCTAAAAATCTTCCCCAGTTGGTTTCCTTTGATGTCTGACTTACCATATAGTCATACAGCTGTAACACTCTTCTCTTGGTAGCAAGGGTAGTTCATTACATATGTTTAGAAAGTTATTATCGTTATTTTGAAGATGTAGAACATAAAGTTGGGACTGGGACAAGATCAAAGGATAACAGATGTTTCAGAAGACATCGTTTATTTTTCTTAAGATTTTAACCTTACTAAATGAGCTAACAGAACAAAGCCAGGATAGAAACAGGCTGTCTGTGGGATTTAGTTGCAATGGAGCTCTGTTTGTAGTTTCTGGCAACTGGCAACTGCCATAACAGGAGAGCAAAGTAACAGACTAAGCCAGATGCCCTTCAGCATCCGCATCAATTCATCAAATTACAACAGGGAAGCAAGAGTCAAAGCTGCCAGTCTTCAGGGAATAAATCTATGAATACCCTAAGACCAATGGCCATTTAATAAACGTAAAAACACAGAAGCTGCTCTCTCTCTCTCTATATGTATATATATGTGTATACATGTGTATATATGTATATACATATGTATATATGTATATACATATGTATATATGTGTATATGTATACCTATATACATATATATGTATTATTTCTTTTTTTGAGATGGAGTCTCACTTTGTCACCAGGCTGGAATGCAGTGGTGCGATCTTGGCTCATTGCAACCTCCGCCTCATGGGTTCAAGTGATTCTCCTGCATCAGCCTCCCAAGTAAGCTGGGACTACAGGCGCGTGCCACCATGCCTGGCTAATTTTTGTATTTTTAGTATAGACAGGGTTTCACCATGTTGGCCAGGCTGGTCTCGAACTCCTGACCTCAGGTGATCCACCCTCATCGGCCTCCCAAAGTGCTGGGATTACAGGCTTGAGCCACTGCCTGAGGCCAGAAGCAGCTATATTAAATCATTTTCATATCAATATATGAAATCTAAGCTAAGCAGGAGTCTTTGAAAGAAAATTAATGTGGTAGAATGATTTCCCATAGATACAGTGTTGGAAGGACTCTCTATAATCCTGAATATCTGATAAATGTTAATTCTTCTCTAGGTACCAAGGTAGTAACTTGTGAAAATTACTTGGATTTCTACAGTTCTGGTTTACAAACATTTAAAGAAAGTCTTTGAGGCCTAAACAAAACAAACAAAGAGAAGAATTTATGGGAAAGAAACAAACCAATATATGACTTTATTAAGTTAGCTTTATTGTGTAAGCTTGAGCATATTTTGATAAATATATATATATATTGGATTTATACCAACTTATATCAATGCAGACATTTTGCTATAACTATTGACTTGTTATAAATAAATTTTACTTCTGGAACTTTAGACGTTTGCATCAAACACACAGGACAAACCCATATCCTCTTGCTTGCCTGAGCCATCTTTATAGCATTCTGGTATTATGGTATCCCATTTTATTCAGTGCTAAAACTTGGGGTGGTAATAGTGGAGTAGATCGCCTCAATATCCTACACTAAGAAAGAAGGCAATCTGCCATCCTTATAGAACAAAATTAATAATCTTAAAACTTTGAACCTTTGATAGAAATAGGCCTAGGGAATGCTTAGGGGTAAGGGAAAATGAATGAATTAGAATTTGTATCACAGTTTTGCCACAGTTAACAGGGAAATGAACGAATTGGAATTTGTAACAGTTTTGCCACAGTTAACTTCCGGCTGCCTCCAACAGGGGAACTTCCTTCTCCTTTAGCCCTTGGCCATGTGTGGACTAAAACTCCTACTCTTGGTTTTCCTTATTGCCCCTGAGAAAGGCTAGAAGTTCCCATAAAACATTGTTAAATTCCTAGGAAAACAAAATAAAACTGAACTTGAAGAATCTGAAAAAACATGAGACGTTTCATTTTACAGAGTAGAGATTTATGAGTTTACTAAGCCAGTTATTTTCAGATAACTGCATAAATTTGTTCATACCTTGACTGAGAACTGTACTGTTATTATTAACTGTCTTCTCCTGGAAAGTCAGCATATTTTGACTCAAAATACAGGAATAACATTTCAGTCATCTAAACACTTTTGCTCAAAGCAGAGAGTGGCTTACTTGGCTGCCTATCAAAAAAATTCTCAGTTTCTATTCAAATTTCCCTCAGGCACATCTAATTGGGAAC